CTGGCATACCAAGCGGCACAACGTCGCAGCACTTCTGAGCCCCGCGCCTCCCTGAAAACCCCGTGCGGGTGGAAGCTGCGGCTACAACTCGGGAAGCCTGGCTTCACACGGCGAGCTTATTGCACGCGACGCGCCATCTTGCTCGCAGCATCCGACCGTGACCTGTGCTGACACTCAGCATGGACAGATCCTTCTGAGACCTGATTTCAAGACACGCCGCTCATGCGCATAATCTGCTACGCAGGGCAGCTGCTTCACCGGTGACAGAGGCAAGTCAGACTCCGAGTCCTGCGATCGGCAAGCAAAGTGCCAGGAGAAGCTCGGACTTTTACTAACTTCCCATATTATGGCTTGCGTTGGCCGTTAACCGTTAGCCTGTTCGACATGCCTCGGACCTCCTCTTCAAAGCTGTGCTGGTGCTGTGACGACAGGCTGTCGGAAGCGCCTGGAAAGGCAAGGGCTGGGCGGCTGGGCCCAGAACCTGGAGATTGTCGTCTAGGGCCCCGGGCCCACACCTTTTCGCAAAGAAGTGGGTCTTCGCCATCGCTTCGGCACCAAGTGTCTGCCCCAAAACTCACAGAAGTTCTACTGAATGCCAGGGCAAACCGGCCTGCTGCTGCTCGCAGCTTGAGGAGGTACTGGTGGCAGCACGGGCAAGGGAACGAATCCATTTCCTGCCTTTGCGAGGTGCTCGAAACACTCTTCGGAGAAAAGAGAATTGTGTACATTGTTGGTATGAGCACCGCGTCCTGCCCAGCATGCCAGCACCGCATTCGATGCGTGATCCTTTCTTGGAAACGACCGAAGTCCTATCAGGTGTTCCGATAGGCGAATGCTGCTTCCTTCTGCCTTTGTTCAGACACGTCCTGCAACATGTCTGCGACACTGGAGGGCCTGTCACTGTGCGCTTCAGCATTCACAATGCAGAGATGCAAGGACTTGCGATGGAGCTAGCATGGACAGAGACGAGACGAGAAGGACAGATTAAAAAGACAGGCACATGTCAAACTACTTGACAAAGATTGCCCGCCCTACCGCACATGATTTGCACATGAATCCGGCAAGCGCAGTGTTTCTAATCTTGTGGTCGTTGCATTTGAAGCCCAAACATGGTCTGCATCTGAAAGTGGGTAACAGAAGCCGGCATCTGTGGAATTCTGTTGTTTGGCGGACCGGACAAAAACACTTGGATAAGAGCATAAGAACGTCATACACACACACACACACACACCACTTTCAACTTTCAGACTCTGGGGTGAGCACTGCAGCCAAGATTTGGCCTGGAGAAGGGAGAGGAGAGTGTGCTTGCAGTCTTGCGTCCGTCACTCGGGCACCGGCCCACTCGTGAAGCTGCGTCTCGTCTAGCTCCACCCCGTCAGTCCTCCAATCGACACAGACTGCCCTGGCGGCCGTGGCGCCTCACTCGATGACTGGATGATCCTCCTCCACTCGCCGGAGGGCCGCCTGGCTTGCTTCGTCTGAGATCAGCTCACACGATGTTGCTGGGGGCAACAATCTCGGGTTGCGGTGCCATGCGCGTTCCATCACCCATAATTAGACGGTTCGTGTTTGCACACTCCCCCTTGCGTCGTGCAGCAAATCATCGAATGCCGATGGAACGACTGGCAAGCACAGCTTTTGTGAGCTTTTGTCTCCCCGCTCAGGATTACCTTCGACCGTCTGAAATGATGCATGCAGGGTGCCGGTGCGGTGGAGATTGTTCAGCTGTTTGTCAGCCGATGTTCTTCTGAGCTTACTTGTCCAATGGGTCCACGCCTGGAGCCGCTCGCTCCGCTGCCACGGCGTTTCAGGCCTGGCGCCAGGATCTTTCGCAGGATATTTTGTGGGAGCCACTGCGAATGCGCAGTCAAAGCTGCAACAACTTTCAGGCAAGGAGACAATGACAAGATCCAGCGACGACGGTTCGACGGCACGAGATCTTGAGATTTTGCAAGCCTGGCACCCTTCCAAGCGCTAGGACGCTAGGACAGCTGTGCGCCCAGTTCCGAGGTCGAGGCCTGCAAGGCCTGGCTTGGGCTCCACCGCAGCCTCCAGGCTCAGGCGCAAGACTTGGTCAGACGCTGTCGGTCGGTCGGTCCGATGCCCTCGGAAGGCCTTGGGGACAGCCTTGGGCTTCACAAGCTTGTCGACCTGAAGAGGAGGGAAAGCATCCACAACGGCGCAGTGCTAGCGGCTAGGATCGAGCAAGCGGCCACTTGGTCCATGAAGCCCGACCGGCCACCAGCTTCGCGGGACCTTTGCAGTCTGTCACGATCTCGTGAAGTGGGCTGATCTACCGAGCCCTCATTAGTCGGAGAGAGGGTTGTCAAGTTCCTTCCAGACGCGCCGGTGGCTCGACCTGAAGCCGCGCCACCTCTTTGCGAAGGGTAAAACCAGATGATCTGGGTTTAAGACCGGGTCGTTGCATCCGACACCTCCCCATCGTTTACGTGTTCGACACCAGCAGCTCCCCAGCATGCATGTCCTCTTCTTCATGTATGAATTTTCGGGACAAAGTCAAAAGTTAAAAGCATCCTGCTGTTTCTCTCCACCGTGAGTTCTGATGGCCCACCCGTCCTTCAAGTGGCCTTAAGAGAGTCGCCGAAGAGAGCCAGAGAGAAGCAGGAGAGCAGACATGGAGAGAGAAAGAAAGAGCAAGCGAGAGAAAGAGAGAGAGTGAGAGAAGAAGAAAAAAAGAAAGCTAGCAGCTGCATGGGTTGCAATCCACAGCAGTTTCGATTACCAGAAAGCCGTCTCCCAGGCTCGCGCGAGAGCTTGGACAGCAAGATGTGCCGCGATTCCTCCGCGCGGTTCGGTGGTGGCAGAGAGCCGGCTTTCGCAAAGCTGTGAACATGAACTCTGGATCTGGGTACCTAACTCCACCCAAGGTCTGCTCTCCACGGCCGTAGAGTGCCTTGGGACAGGACAGCGCAAGAGACGCTTGCCACGGATGCCAAGTTGAGCTGCAACACTGCACGCCGAGCCATTGCAGCGCTGACCTGTGTTGCTTTGCATTGGCTGCAGTGTTTCGCAACCGGCAGCATTGATAAGGGTGCCGGCAGCAACTCCCATCCCGCCATCGAGAAGATTGAATGCATCGTCAAAGGCGTTCAAAGACTGCGGCCTCAGCGAAACTCGGGAACGTGTGCAAAGGGGCTCACAGCTCGCTGTCTGAGGGCTCCAAGCGCAAACTCTGAAAGAGCACGGATGAGATCTCTCTCTTCCTGCGACATGGAGACCGGAGCAGCAGTGGAAGCGCCCAGCGGTGATCGCCTGCCCTCGTGAAGGTCCGGTAGGTGTCTTTGCGCCTGGAAGGGCTGACATTGCATGCGGGGCGCTCGACGCGCTTCATCCGCAAAGTCTTCCTTGCTTAGTTTGCAAGCAAGGGTCTGGTGCCGCTCTGCCTCAACAAACGACACTTGCAACCAATGGCAGAAGGTGATGAAGCCTATTGCCATAGGCACGATGTGTCAGCACCACCATGATGCTTCATGTGCGAAAATTCCTCCATACCCTCTCACCCAGATTATCAGGGCACTGAAGCAAACCGGAAGAAGTAAACGGCCTGAAAGTCTTTCGCCGAGCTCGCACCTTGACAACGACATGGGCAAAACGCGTCGTCACACAGTCGTTGAGCTCAGTGCCCCATCCACCTGGATGGAAATGGATGCCTGCGCTGGTCGGAGAGCGCTCTGCGAGAAACAGCCCTGTGGGCCGTGGGCCTTTTTCATCGTGAGGACTTCTTGCCTCTGTGCTCTGCCACAGCACACCCGGCTTTCCACAAAACAACAAAGCAGGCCGGGCCTTCAAAGATGCTACGAGTAGTCACCCGTGGACTCCATCGAATCATGTCGATGTATCGAACGATGCACAGGGGCACTGTCGCTCCACAAGTCTGGCTCCTCATGCTTTTTGCTTTGATCAGAACTCGAACTGCCGCGAAACAGACTGCACCGATGAGGCTTCCGAACCCTTTGCGACCTAGATTGCAGGGTGCATGACGAAGGATTCTGCAAGGGCCTACCGTCCCCGCATCTGCTTGGCAGATGCTCAGGGATCCGAAAGTGAAACTCTTGACCTGCTTCTTCCTGTGTCGAGCCCAAGTCCGAACCACTACGCTGCTTTCAGGCTTGGTCTGTTCAACAGGTTACTGCACACCCGCAAGCATCATGACAAAGGCAGTTCCAGCCAAGCGACGGAGGCAACAAACTCCAAGATTTTCCAGACAAGTTTGATCCTTTTTGCGAAATCTGTCCTGCCAAGTGGACCTGCCAGGGCCCGCAGGTTGTTGTGCTGCCCGCGTCGCATTGCCTAGTCCTTCTCCTTTAAGACACCAACAGCACCTGACCCTCTGCCATGTCAAACCGACAATAAGCTAACCTCACTCTTACTCAGCTGCAATGACCTGCCCTCACTGCTATCATCCATCATCCCAAGAGGCGACATGATGTTTGCTCAATACCTCATATTCCTGACCGAGGCTCACCCTCACTATTTCCCGGCAGTCACTTGGCACGTATGCAGGACAATTCCCTCAATTTGGGTCGCGACTGTGCTGGGTGGCATCTCACCTAGCTCACGTGTTGTTACCTTGATCATGTTGAAAGATGCCACCCTTTGCGACAAGGCTCTTCCAGCTTCCACACGTGAAGCATCGAAGCTTGGAATCAGGCTGGTACCCAAACGGATCTACACAGTCAAGACACTGCCAAAGACGAGTCGCGCGATCCAGCTCGCCGCTGTTTTGTTGAAAGCTGCGCACAGACGATACATCTGAAGGGCAGGTCATGACCCACAGGCTCCACGGACACTGAAAGCGAGCTTTGCTCAAATAGGGCATAGACTGCCTCTTTATTTGGTTTTGGAGGTTTTCTTGTGACAAGAGGAGCATCGCCAAGTTCTGATCTGTTCTGCACATGAAGTAATCCCTCGATTCCGCTCGCCAACAGCTCTGCGAAACTCGGCGAAGCTCTGAACATTGATTACTATTGCATGTAAATCTATACATGAAAATCGCTTCGGGCATGCGAGACCTGCAGAGAACGAAACACACTGCTCTGTACGTCGAGACAAACACTGCCTAAGCGGTCTGCAAGGCCCTGAAGAGTTGAAATAGGGCCAGCAACGGTTCCCAAATCATCTCTGGTCTCCTCCGCCTTCACCGGACTCGAGTTGACCTCTGCCAGATATGCCGCATGCGGAAAGGCAATTCCAACTGCCCTCAAACTCAGCATCAGTCCTCACTGCGTGGGGCACTCCCCCTTGCGCTCCTACACACCCGCTAGCATGCCGCGAGCACGCTGCAAGCATGCTATGCTTCGTCAAAGCACAACCAAGGAAACCACCAACAACACTCTTACCACCGGCGACTGCCCCTCGTGGCACCTTTTCTGAGATTCCACACTGCTTTTCAAGAGCATTCCAACTCCGAAGAGAACGACTTTGGCCTGCCACTTACACACACACACACAAACACGGACTGTGCACCTTTCGAAAGGTGCACATCGCAATGGAATGGCCGAACTACCGTGATTACCATCACACTCTTGCTGTTGCTATTGCTGCAAGTGCTTGTGGTTGCTGCATCTCGCATTGCTGCTCCTGCGACCACTACATACCACGACCACTACCATGGAGGAATCCCGTCACACCACAACTGGTCCTCTCCGGTTTTCTTCTCCTCCGGAGGCTCCTGGCAAAGCTGAGGAAGCAGTTGCAGAGCTCAAGCGCCGAAACACACAGACGTTTCTTTTACCAGCAAGCGTTAGCTCAAGGGGCCCAGGTCGTCGTCGTCAGCTTGCTGAGCCGAATACTCTTGGAGCCTCGCCTGTGCTGCGAGAAGGTGCTCCAGTGCCGCGCTGGCATCTGTTGGACATAGGCGGATGGCGTCCTTCAAAAGAGTCTGCAGGCGGCCGAAGCGAAGGTCTCCTGAGCGCTGCGAGCGCTGCGTCAGAAGAGAGCAGGGTCGGCTTTGGGAGCTCGCCCTGGCAGTGGAAGCAGCAGCTTCGTTCTGCGCCGCTTCCATGCTTTCTTCCGAACTCGCAGGACCTGGCAGACCTGGCAGACCTGGCACGCTGGCGTTGAGGGCGTCAGGCGTCGGAGTCGGATGCGTCTGCGTGGCTCTCAGCGTTTGCTTCGAGACTTGCAGGACGATGTCCTTGGCGGTGAAGAAGCTGAAGCTGTTGTCCATCTCGAAATACAGAGTCGCAACGGGATCATGCGTATCAGATTGCTTCACGCAGTCGGCGTGTTCGCCAAAGAGGTCCAGGTAGCCTTGAAAAACAGAGCCACGCTCGCGGTCCTTCACCATGCGGCACTTGTCGACGCCCAGGAGTCTGAGGGGCCGGTCGACGCAGCGAACCTCCTGCGGCCTCCTTGAAGAAAGCTTCACCATAAAGTCCACCGTTAAAGAACTTTGAACAGTACAGACCCAACTGATGTGCTCACCCTTCCGAAGCAAGACCTGCCGGGTGGCCTTGGCTCCCGCCTCCAGCTGTAGTGTGTCCCTGACCTGGGCAGAGACAAGCACCGAGGACACACGGTGGAGAGCACTTCTTGAACAGCTTTGAAAATTCGAGTCTCCATGTAGCCTGGGCACCAGCTCTCCAGCAGGGAGATCGATGGCTGCGGAGCTCATTGAACTTCCAGCAGCAGGCCCGCCGCCAACGGTCCGGGAAACGCATCCCCGATTCTCCGCAGAAACCAGCAACATGGGACTCAGGGCTGCAGTCAACCATTGCCGTGCTACTTTTGTCGACGAAGCCTTGCGACGGTCTAAGACTGGGTTCCCCGGCAGCTGAAATATGGTGAACTGCTTTGGCAGACAGATTGACTTAGTCTGGACATGCACAGAGGACGCCGGGTAACATGCCTGGTCTTTTTTCTCCTACACTTTGAGACTTTGACCAGAGCCGAAATTATGGTGTTGCAGGCTCTGCTAAGACCATGCCTTGACCACTGCTTCTTCAGGCCTTCGTTGCTGCTCGCACCGGGGGCGCACTGGGGACCTGTGGCTCGAAGCTCGGGTGCAAACAATGCTGGGGGCGGGGCCGGGTTTTCAAGGCCGGTGCTTCACGCTGCTCACGCTCCCGAGGCGGCGGAGGCGGGGCTCGGCTGGGGCGGCCTGCAGCACTGGGGCCACTAGGTCACCACTGGGGTATCACACGTGACGAATGCGAATTCACAGCCTTCGTCATCGTCCTTTCCGGGGAAGAGAATTGTCTTACAGGCACAAAAACTCAGTCGGACTGCCACAAGCAATGGTGCCCTTTCGCTTGGTCCTCTTGCTGGGACTCCTTGGCGGCAGATGCTACGCTGAGACAAACAAGACCAAGAGCTTTGAGCCATTCAGGAGCCCGACCCGGTTCTCACGGTCACGCGTCTTCCGCTCGCGCCCAGCCTGTCTACACTTGACAGAACAAAACTCATGTCGCCATCTCGACGATGACATCGCTTTGCAGCCCAAACTTTGTGTTGGGGACTTGCCAGGGCTGTGTCGATCTTAGCCCGGTGTCTTGAGGCAACTGGGCATATCATGGCATATCGCATCCTGTCCCACGTGCCTTGCCACCGAAGTTGGGCACCACGATGGCGCGGAAGCTCCGGATCTCTTCCGGAACCTGCATTTTCCGGGGGCTGTGCATTCGGCGAGAGATCAACAGAAAAGCCTCCTGGACAAGGCTCCGGTAGCGCAGCAGATCCTGCAATGGCCCCCAAGGCAGAGATATCGCACGATCTTCCCCCAGCGCCGATTCGCAGGTCCTCTTTCTGGTACAAGTATCGAACTCAGCACAAGGTCTTTGCTTCAGAAGGGCTTTCGCACTACTGCAAGCTTTCTGGATTGTTGCCAAGATTTCTCAAGAAGTGCCGAGCCCTTGACGGTAGTCTGGCGCCTGCAGCTCCAAGCATGAGTGTAGCTGCAGGGCACGGACTAAACTCAAGCACCTGTGCTTTCTCTCGGGTTGGCGGCGGGGGTGGCGGCATCGTCCTCAGCCCGGCTGAGGTTCGCTTCGTGAGCATTCGGACATGTCGGGTGTGAGGCTCGAACTGGTTTCCGCCGTCTCGAACGACAGCACCTGCAAAGACACGCGAGCAGATCGCAGACCAGCACAGCAAAAGATACTGACAGTCATGCACTCGAACAAATCCCGTCAGTCAGGCAGTCGGTCAGGCCTCTGCCAGGGCCTTGCAACAAGCGCGAAAGGAAAATACAACTGCAAGCAAGGAAAGCGTGGTGGCCTCTTGGCACAGGCCTGAGGCACAAATTACTGTGAATAAGCCGCGTGGACAACTGACTCGACGCACTGCTAGGCTCTGCACCCCTCGTTTTGCGCTTCTGACAGGAATGTCGGCCCGTTGATGTGGCGGGCCTAAGGCATTGCTTGGCTTGCCGTAGTATGTGCCGCGGAAAATCCAGAAAAGCCAGCTTCCAGACACACCTGCGTGGTCGACCGATAGCCAAAGAGGCTCCCGACGCGATGTGGACCTTTCCCTTGTCGGTTGTTAGTTAAAATTTCAGAATGCTTTGGCGATGTGTAGGTGCAGGCTCCCCTGTTGCTGCCACCATCTAAGGCCCTGCCACCTTAGCTTGGCTTCATTTGTCGATGAGCTTCGCGGTGGCTTTGTAGGAGGTATAGCGGCCCGCGCATGACCCGGGCGCCGTCTACGCTTGTCATCAAGCACTGTACGGGTAGCCTCGAGTCGCCTTCTGACGCTAGCCGCCGCTAGCCGCCGAGAGCACCGAGACAAGGCCAGCTGT